TGTCACGACGCAGTGGACTCAGGCGCTCGTCAATTTTTGGGCACCTGGATTTATTGGTATCCTCGTAAAGCTTGTTTGTATGCCATATTTTCAGTGAAAACTATCCATTAATCTTGGATACATGTCGAGATAATGGTGATTGAAAGAGGTGGGGGCTGCCTGGTTTCAGAGGTAAAATTAGCGCGAAAATGGGCGCCAAAGTTTGGTTTTTTCCTTAGCTAGACAGTCCTTTGAAATTGGAAATTTCAATTTTTGTGTGCCTTTATTCACATTTTTTTGTGTGGCTTTATCCAACGTTTTTCAGTGCAATCCGCACCGAATGTGTTCTTTAGTGTACATGAAAGGTGTTGAGCCAAGAATATAAAAAATCGATAAAAATCCCCCCAAACCTGCAAACAAATGCCAGTTTCTTCATATCCATTATTTCGACAAGCACCTGAATTCACCACGATGCCTCACATTGAGACATAGCCATAAATCGTTTACAATGAATAAGTTTCTTTTTTTTCTGATTAAACTGTGAATAATTTATTTCCTTTGGGTCTACCAAACTTCCGACAACAAAAAGTGACAATATCGTTTTTCTCAATCACACGTGTGTGATATTCTCACCATTTCTCCCTCTTAATTATACAGTACAGTAACGAACTGGGCTGGGTTGTTTTTCAACACTCAAGAAAGAAACCACACCCTGAACTGCCCAAATTTCTATTTTCAATTTATTTCTATTTTATAGCAATTGCACAGGTTCAAATATTTTCAAATAGTTTCTCACAACAAATTTAGGGTAACACTCTCGGCTTATTTTGAGCACTCAAGAGAGACACAGGGAAATAAGAATTTCAGTCGTTTTGTTTCGTAATTTCTGTTGTATGCTGGCTTTTTCACCTTCGAGCTTTCAATTTAGCCAATGACTCTGCACGTTTGTTTTTTCTAACAGTGGCGTCCTCCAACCACCAGCTCTTTATTTCTTTACTTCTCCACTTTTTCAGCTGTCCAACTTTTCTCAAACACTAATTATGAAAACCCATTGGCATTCTCTCTCTCTCTCTCTCTCTTTCTCTCTCTC